GTTTAAGTTCATAGGGATAATTACAAAAATTATTATTCTACATTTGAACATCTAATGTCTTCAACATTTTATCATTAATTCTTATAAAAACATTTTTTTTTTCAATTTCCAGTAAAAAAAAAACTAGTGAGAAATCTTATATTAAATCTAATATTTGAATCACACGTTTTTTTATTTGAAGAATTTATTTACAATTTGCGTTTGATATGAGGAAGGAGGCCAACCAGTTCTGGAATCCAATGTGAAATTATTTTAGGTTAGCAAATCTCTGTAATATTGTCTCTTGAGCCTATGTATGGAATTTATGGATTGAGATATGGGACACTAATGCGTTAGAATGGGGAGATAGTTTTTAGAAAGATCTGTAGTGTTAGGTTAGGGTAGGTGGCTAATTGGTTGACTGACTCAATTTTTAGGTCAGAGTGTAATACATTTTTAAAACTTAGGAAATTAAATAAAAAAAATAATAATAATAATTTTAAAATTGAAGTGATTTTGATGAATATTGTAAAAATGTGTATTTAAATATATTTTATTTGCTAATAGAACAATTTATGAAGTATCTAACGTCATATTATGTGGGTTGTTCCTCACAAACATAATTTTTATATTAGTGAAATCAAGAAWAAAGTTATACTACAATTGCCTATAAATAATACATAAAGAGCTAAAATGTTATTTGCCATGTCTAAAATATGTCGATTTAAATATTTGGAGAACAAACTCAAGTCCATTGTTACTGATTTTTTATGGTGTGGTGTGTTAATATGCCTGTTCTTCATTAATTTTAATTTTTGTTTTTCCCAATTATTGATTATAGTTGTAAGTTTAGGGATTTTTTCTTAGAACTACATAAGTACTAACTAAACCCAAATGGTTGCCAAAATCTTTCCTAAAAGTTTAAGGTCAAAAATTTGTTAACTAAAAGCAAGTGAACAAAAGAGAAACACACATCTTTGTATAATGAGAAATTAAAAAATTGTATGTTGGTAATTTTATATTTTCGTTCTAGTTAAAATTTTGCCACAAGACTGTATTGACGTAATTAAAGCAGACCCATCTCTAATATGTGCTAGACCAGATCCAAAAGTTTATAGATGCCGTAAATGCCGGTAATATTTTAATTCTAACTAATAATTGTGTATAATAAATTAATATTCATAGCCTGTTTAATATTATTATTATTTTAGAAGAATTTTAGCTTTACAATCAAATTTATTACCCCATTATATCAATGAAAAATTGTCGTGGAAAGATTCAAAACTGTCTTCAGATTATGCAGGCTCTCAACAATGTTCAGACACWATCTTTATTGAACCGATGACTTGGATGTCAGTGAGCCAATCTGAAAGTGGAAAGATCAACTGTCCAAAATGTCAATCTAAACTTGGTTCTTATAGTTGGACAATGGGATGTCAATGTCAATGTGGTGCCAAAGTATCTCCAGCATTTTATTTTGTGCCATCTAAAATAGATTACAGTGGATTTTTACAAAATGTTCAGGTTACTGTTTGAAAACTTATTATCTCATCATTGATCATCTTGTTAATAGATATTAAATATTATTAAATTGTTGATATTTAAGACAATAACCCAATATACACTTAACCAAAGACTTTTATTCATAAAAGTAAAAATTAGGTCATTAGCATAAACTTAATCTAAATACACTTAAAATATTAGTATATATTTTAATAATATTATACCAATTAATTATTATTACTTTATTATGAAAAAATTTTAATAAAATAATCAATAAAAATATAATTTAAATCTAATTACATTTATTTTTATCTCAGAATCTGTATGAAACACTACCCACAAATTCAACCAATTATTTTATTAAAATCGTAGTTATCTAAATGACAAACTAATATTTTGTGATGAATGTTAACAGGCATCCATTAAAGTGTTAATAGAAAAATTATATATATATA